CGTAATTAATTACATGCTTAATCCGGTTCCCAGGGGCCTAATGAAGAGGGTGTGAGACTGAGAAGCCAGCCCGTTTTGTTTATTTTTTTTCCTTAATCCGATAAAAAGGACAGGACTTTTTTTCCCCCTTTTTTTTTGGAGGGTTATTCCCTTCATTTAGGTCTCCTCTACATGAACCCGGAGCCGTGAAAGCAGGAGATGGAAGGTGTACGGGTGCCTGACTCCTGCCCTTTTCTGATTTATTTTTTTTTCCGTGGAGCCGGAGAGAGTTTCTTGTTACGAATCGCCCACTTTATTGGAACGGGAGACAGCAATTTGAAGCTTGCCCCGGGCAGCCCTAGAGGAGGTTTTGGGTTCGAGTGGGACTTTATTTCCCCCTGCGGTGGGGCTGGGGGTTCTGCGGGCCGCGGGGAGTGTGGGCGCTGCTAACCGAGGTGTCTCTCCTTCCTCCTCTCTCCCGGCGCAGGGAGGCTGAGCCCTCCAGCCTGCACCCTGCGCAAGCACAAGACGAACAGGAAGCCCCGGACACCCTTCACCACGGCGCAGCTGTTGGCCCTCGAGAGGAAGTTTCGGCAGAAGCAGTACCTGTCCATCGCCGAGCGCGCAGAGTTCTCCAGCTCGCTCAGCCTCACCGAGACACAGGTGAAGATCTGGTTCCAGAACCGCCGCGCCCAGGCCAAGAGGCTCCAGGAGGCCGAGCCGGAAAAGCTGAAGATGGCAGCAAAGCCTATGCTCCCACCCGCTGCTTTCGGCATCTCCTTCCCGCTGGGAGGCCCAGCCGTGGCCGGTGCCTCTCTGTACGGTGCCTCCAGCCCTTTCCAGCGGGCAGGGCTGCCCGTGGCTCCCGTGGGACTGTACACGGCGCACGTGGGATACAGCATGTACCACCTCACATAGAGCCTGAGCCCTGCCGAGCGCAGCCCGACGGCTGTCGGCTCCTGCTGGCTCCACCCGCGCTCCTTCCCCGCTCCTCTGGCTCATCGCTGTGGACTTCCCACGGACCCCATGGCAGAGACTTCTCCAGTCCGGCTCTGCTGCCCCATCTGATTCTGATTCCCCCGGCCCAGCACTGTTCTGTTCTCGTCGGCAGTCCCGGGGAGCTGGCAGAAGCCTGAGGCATTGCCCCAGCTCCTTCCTGGCACAGGGCAGTGATGGGCCAACCCTGCCCGGCTTCCCTGGGGTCTGGCTGGCAGCCTGGGGAGAGTCCCCGCCATGGGGGAAGGAACTGTGGAAGAGAAACGGAAAAAGGGGACTGAAAGACAGGATGTTTCTCTTTCTGTGAGGCGAGGTCAAGAGGCAGAAGTGTAGAGCAACCTCTCCTGTCCCTGTGTAACAGCTCTGCCTGTTACCTGTCTTTGTTCCTCCACCAGCTCCTTTGGAAGGGGCTCTGTGTACTATGTAATATACTGTATATTTGAAATTTTATTATCATTTATATTATAGCTATATTTGTTAAATAAATTAATTTTAAGCTACTGTTTGATGCAGTTTGTTTGCTCCTTGCCCTGCTAGGGGTGACAGAATAAGAGACTAAATTTGTGTGTCAAGGGTACAAGGGGATACTGGCTATACCAGCCGTTTACCCTCTTCCCCAGAAGACTTCAGCCTTGGTTAGTGACATATTGGCTGGGTTTTCAACTTGCTCTGTATCCTGGAGGTGCCCTGTCCTCACAGCTGTTTGGGGATTCTTCCTTTTCCCCCACTGCAGTTTACAATGCATCACAGCCTCGAGGGTGTGGGTGACCGCAGCTCTGGGATCGGCACAGTCCCGGCCGCGCTTACTTAGTTCTAGGAAGGGAGAAATGTTAGTCTTCTCCCTCCCTTCCCTCTGCGGGAACCTTCCAGCCGCAGCCCCCGGCG